TGCCATGGCACTTCACTGGTGTGGGTGGCACTCCTTAAATATTTCACATACTACGAAAACCCTATGAGAATCACTAAATTTAATGCGTCTTGACAGCACAGAACAACAACATTGAGAATATCAAATACTCTCTGGGAACTTGCAGAAAGTACACAGAAAATCTGGGAACCATTTTGTACCCTTCAAAATGCCCTAGAACAGGAGTGGGCCACTAGTCTGCTGGACTACAACTCCCATGCTAGCCGGCATAGTCTATGTTGCAGTCTTAACAACATCTGAAGGGCCACAAGTTACTCATCTCTACCATAGAACAACATAATTCTTCAACATCTATAACAACAACAACAATACTGTGCCGATATTTAACAGATACTCAGTTTTTTGGTTAAACTTGCATCTGTTATATAATACCAGTCAATGTTTTTATAGTTTTGATTGACTGTGGCTGGGATTTTTGAATGATGATGATAACCTTTGAACTGCAGAGCTGGAAGGGACCCTATGGATCATCGAGTCCAGCCCCTCTCAAGGAGGCACAGACGAGAACTGAACTCCCAACCTCCCAGCCAGAGATGTGAGCCACTGAGCTATCCATTTATGGTGATATCAACCATAAGGAAGTGTACTGGAAAATACTAGGAAAAAAACTTCTTTTTAGTGGAAGGGAGCATTTACATTCTCAGAGAACTGTGAAAAAAACCCATTACAATAAATTACAGCTCAGCTCTACAGCTTCTACCTTCCGAGCTCTGACTAAATTTAGGCCCTTGCTGTTTACTTCCCCTTCCTGTCCCAGTCATGCTAAAGTCGGGTGGAGAAAGAAACACAATAAACTAAAAGAGAGAAAATACTTTTAATCTTGCAAGAGGAATTCAGATCTTGAAAGGACTTTCCTACATCTCACTGCAACACAAAAGGGAGAATTTAAGAAGATGGACTTTTTTCATCTTATGGTGCTGCAGTGATGAAGGAGAAAAAAAACCACTGTTAAAAAACTCTCTTTTCTCCTTCACAGTGTAGTGCTGATAGCCATCCACCCACAAACATTAAAAGCATCCCTACTCTAGTGTACAGCACACAACTTTTTAAAAAAAGCAAGTGGGAGGAAGGGAGCACAGTAACTGCTGCACATATTGTATGTTGCAACAGTCCATACATATTTCACACAGAGTTTCTGTTGTAGGGATGTTGAATTTTAGCACATGTGAGACAGACAGAAGTGCTGATAGCCATCCACCCACAAACATTAAAAGCATCCCTACTCTAGTGTACAGCACACAACTTTTTAAAAAAAGCAAGTGGGAGGAAGGGAGCACAGTAACTGCTGCACATATTGTATGTTGCAACAGTCCATACATATTTCACACAGAGTTTCTGTTGTAGGGATGTTGAATTTTAGCACATGTGAGACAGACAGAAGTAAGCATTTCTTGCAACAGTCCATACATATTTCACACAGAATTTCTGTTGCAGGGATGTTGAATTTTAGCGCATGTGAGCCAGACAGAAGAAAGCATTTCTTCATTCAGCACATAATTAACATTAGATCTACTACCACAAGATGTGACAATCACTGTTAGCTTGGACAGATCTAAAATGCAACCGGGCAAGTTCAGAGAGAGCAAGTCCACCAAAAAAAGCGAGTCTAGTATAGAATGTCAGTCTAGGATTCAGGAGATCTGGGTTAAGTTCAGAGAGAGCAAGTCCACCAAAAAAGCGAGTCTCGTGTAGTGGGTAGAATGTCAGTCTAGGACTCAGGAGATCTGGGTCCAAAATCCTACACAGTCCTGGAAAATCACTAGGGGACTGGCACTGGTAAAACTGTTCCTTAAATATTTCTACCTTAGAAACACTACTAAGGTCACCATTAAGCCAGAATCAAATCGATACCAAACCACACCCAAGTCCAGCAACCCTGTGACTTGGCAGGTGAGATGGTGAGTGTCTCAGACAGCAGATTCAGAGTCTCTTTAAAAGTCAACACATTACTAATTTGCTTCATCGTTATTCTTGCATTTTTATTTCCACCAAAAGGGAGGAAACTATATGTGGGATTTACTGCTTCATGTCCCAAAATGACTTGGCTGGACATGAATACTATGCATCTTAGCAGTGATTTTTCCAAACTCCAGTGCTGACTTAGGCCACTCTCCACTTCAGGTAGCAAAATGCCTTGGGCTAGCCTCAGTAGCTAGCACCAAATTCCATGTTTAAGGGCAGTTTGCCACCCAATATCATGTGCTGGGGAGCCCCAGGAGGGGAAATCTATTGCCCTCATGTCCTGTCCTTTCCATGTACATTTGGCTGGCCTCAGTGGGAAATAGGATGTTGGACAGAACAAGCATGTTGCCCCAATTTTTTTTTTTATTTAAAGAACAATATTTTGCACTAAAGGACTAGCTAATAAAGAGACCCATTTTCCCAGCCACAGAGAAGCACTAGCAGGAACACAGCACCCACCAAACAGAAGAGCCCAGTTTTAGAATTCAAAATATGGGAATACTTGCAAACTCCATTTTAAGCTTTACAACTTTGTATCAGCCTTTTTAAAGTAGTGCAGTGCTTTTAAGTACCTGATTTCATTAACACCTCATTCATCTGACAATTTCATTTTACACATAACAGTCTAGTCCTCAAACCCAAACATTACCCTACAGCAAAAGCTAGGTCCCAAGTGCCAAAATGGGTGAACAAGCACTATTTTGCTAAAGAGATCAGCAGAGTGGCCCTGGCTTCATCACATTTCTAGCAATGGATTTCTAAAAGGAGTGTATGAAAAATAAAGTTTAACTACCTAGAGGTCACACACTCCAAAAGTGTTACCGACTAGCTGTCATTATGGTAAAGAGGGAACACTTTGCATAAGTCCAGAGGGAGGTATACAGAGAGAGCCGAGATGTTCAGGACAAGGTCTAAACTGCACGAAAGCAAGCTTAAGCCAACACTCCAACCCAGCAAAGCAACACCCATCCCTTTCCGTAGCCATACCTTAGAAAATGTAGACAGATGAGGAGATTTATGGCAGGAATATGATTTAGGCAGCCAATTGTCCATTGTCAATATTTTCCAAAAAACTCCCCGTGCCAGGACACAGCACCTTAATGGCAGAGAAATGGCTGCACCAGAGAGAAAGGGACCGAGCTGTTTCCTCAACCGCAGGCCAATTGAGAGATTCAGAGCAGCGCAGCTCAGTGTGCAAAACAAGAAGGCAGCACTACTTCGCTTTTCACATACTTCCTGTTGGGGTTTGTGGGCCAAAGTGGCTGCTGTGACAACATGGGCGTTGAGTCCTACCTAAGGCCTTCTTCGGAAGTTTTGTACTAATTCACTAAGACTTCCTCTGCTATTCTAATGAGATGCACTTAAATCCTAAAAGGAGAGGCAGGTCACGATTCTAGCTGCCTGAAAGTCCTATACTCCTGTATGCATCAGCTCTTCGCTTCCGTGAGTCTTCCTCAACCTGGAGCTCGTTTCAATGACCAACAGGAGTTGGTAATCTCAACAGGAGGGACAACAGGAGTTGTAGTCCCAAATATCAAGGGGGTCCAGGTTGTGGGTGGATGGCTTCAATTCTAGTTCTGTGAAGACTGACTGCATTTATACGTACATTTATATGGCAAAAGTTTCTTGACACAGGCCCATAGATGTTCTCCATTGCTTCAAAAACAGAAAGGGAAATGATATCCCAGCCTTGGAGTGGCAAGGCAGAAGGCCTAAAAGAAGCACCTATAAAGATGCAGGTGAGCCCCTGAAGCTTGTGTGATTGTAAAATAAGAAAAGGCAACCCCAGAACTAGGCCTCTGTTTGTGTACTGATGACCTACCCTAAAGGCACCAGACATTCCTGAAGTGGTGTCTTCCAGATGTGGTGATGAAATCACTACCATGTATAGCCAGATGGGGATGTTGGGATTGTACCACAGTCTAACACATCTGTTTGAGGAAAGAGCCAATGGCACAAGGACAAGAGGACACATTTTGTGTTGAAAGGAGAGAGAAAAGATCTATAATGCTTGAGATGAGGCACTGTATAATCATTCATGGTGAAGTACTATATACGTACAATATTTATACATACACACAAATATACTGTGGTGGGGGAGAGGAAGAGGAAAGAGGCAGACTTGTTGCCAGAAAACTGAACATCCCTTCCTTACCTTTATTCTGACTTTGACCCGTTTGTAGACAATTCATGAAAGTGCTAGATCACACTGAGTGTGATTTGTAAAGCAGTTATGAGCCAGAAACAGAATCATGAAAAGAGATGAACCAAAATCCAAGGATACCAACTACAGGAATCCTGAATTTTAACAGTGCTAGAGACACTCTGCTTGCTCTCAACATTAGGTGCTAGCTAAGGAAACTAAGTGAGGAGCCCCAGCTAATCTCCATACAAGCAGCTCTCCAATGTTGAAAAGTACTGCAACCTAGTCAAACAGCTCAACTCTTCCATACCCCCAGGAGGAAAAAAAACCTCTGGATATAGAGCAATTGTAGAAAATCCTACTCCACCTCAACATTCTTCTTTTCCCGGTTAGACAACAGCTTTCAGAGCTGGATCTGATCCACTCACAGCTTAACTTCCTATTTAAAGCTTTTACTTAAGAAAACTCACACTACAAATAAGAATCACAGAGCAAGCCTATGTCAAGGTTGTGTGGGGCTAGCAGACATGACTGGGACCTGGAGAATCTACATTTAAGTCCTTACTGAGCCATGCAACTCATTGGCTGACCTTGGCCCGGCTCTCTTTCTCCATCTCAGACTAATCTACCTGGCAGTGTTGCTATGACTATAAAGTAGGGAGCAAGAGAACCATGCACATCACCATGGACTCAATGGAGAAAAGAGAGAATATAAATATTTGTTGTTGTTTAGTCATCAAGTTGTGTCCAACTCTTCGTGACCCCATGGACCAGAGCACGCCTGGCCGCCCTGACTTCCACTGCCTCCTGGAGTTCAGTCAAAGTCATGTTGGTAGCTTCGATGACTCTGTCCAACCATCTCGTCCTCTGTTGTCCCGTTCTCCTCTTGCCTTCACACTTTCCCAACATCAGGGTCTTTTCCAGGGAGTCTTCTCTTCTCATGACATGGCCAAAGTATTGGAGCCTCAGTTTCAGGATCTGTTCTTCCAGTGAGCACTCAGGGTTCATTTCCTTAAGAATTGTCTCTGCTTTTCACGATGCTGTCCAGATTTGTCATCGCTTTCCTCCCAAGAAGAAGGCGTCTTTTAATTTCAGGGCTGCTGTCTCCATCTGCAGTGATCATGGAGCCCAGGAAGATAAAATTTGACACTGCCTCCATATCTTCCCCTTCTATTTCCCAGGAGGTGATGGGACCAGTGGCCATGATCTTAGTTTTTTTGATGTTGAGTTTCAGACCGTTTTTTGCACTCTCCTCTTTCACTCTCATTACAAGGTTCTTTAATTCCTCCTCACTTTCTGCCATCAGAGTGGTATCATCTGCATATCGGAGGTTGTTGATATTTCTTCCGGCAATCTTAATTCCGGCTTGGGTTTCTTCCAGTCCAGCCTTCCGCATGATGTATTCTGCATATAAGTTAAATAAGCTGGGGGACAATATACAGCCTTGCCGTACTCCTTTCCCAATTTTGAACCACTCAGTTGTTCCATGACCAGTTCTGACTGTTGCTTCCTGTCCCACATATAGGTTTCTCAGGAGATGGATAAGGTGGTCAGGCACTCCCATTTCTTTAAGAACTTGCCATAGTTTGCTGTGGTTCACACAGTCAAAGGCTTTCGCATAGTCAATGCAGCAGAAGTAGATATTTTTCTGGAACTCTCTGGCTTTCTCCATAATCCAGCGCAAGTTAGCAATTTGGTCTCGAGTTCCTCTGCCTCTTCGGAATCCAGCTTGTACTTCTGGGAGTTCTCGGTCCACATACTGCTGAAGCCTACCTTGTAGGATTTTGAGCATAACCTTGCTAGCGTGTGAAATGAGTGCAATTGTACGGTAGCTGGAGCATTCTTTGGCACTGCCTTTCTTTGGGATTGGGATGTAGACTGATCTTTTCCAATCCTCTGGCCACTGCTGAGTTTTCCAAACTTGCTGGCATATTGAGTGTAGCACCTTAACAGCATCATCTTTTAAGATTTTAAATAGTTTAACTGGAACACCATCACCTCTAGTGGCCTTGTTGTTAGCCATGCTTTCTAAGGCCCACTTGACTTTGCTCTCCAGGATGTCTGACTCAAGGTCAGCAGCCACACTATCTAGGTTGTCCGGGATATCCAAATCTGTCTGGTATAATTCCTCTGTGTATTCTTGCTACCTCTTCTTGATGTCTTCTGCTTCTGTCAGGTCCCTCCCATTTTTGTCCTTTATCATGTTCACTTTTGCACAAAATGTTCCTTTAATATCTCCAATTTTCTTGAATAGATCTCTGGTTTTTCTCTTTCTATTATTTTCATCTATTTCTTTGCACTGTTCATTTAAGAAGGCCCTCTTGTCTCTCCTTGCTATTCTTTGGATGTCTGCATTCAATTTTCTGTAACTTTCCCTATATCCCTCGTATTTTGTTTCCGTTCTCTTCTCTGCTATTTGTAATGCCTCTTAACTTAATAACTAATTAACTTAATAACTGAAATTAATAACTAATTAATAATAATAAGAATATTCACACAAAAGAAATTCCCATGGTATCCACTGAGGATTGCTCCCAGGTAAGTGCGCACAGGATTCCCCTCTTAGTGTTGAATTCATCACGTTTGTACTTTAGAAGAATCATCAGGTCAACTTTTCCTTGATGCAGATGTAACTTACACTGGAAAGTAGGTGTATATCCTCTCTCTCCCCTGTTCTATCGCAACTAAGAAAACTGTGTCACAAACACAAGAAAAGCTCAAAGATTCTTTAAATAGAGACTGAAACAAGAATAAATTTCTATAATCATCAGACTGACTCATTGGCTACTTTGCTGAAAATACAACTAAAATATTCTAATTTCCAGACCCCACTTACTATCTTACTCTTAAAATCATTCAAGAAAACACAGAAACTGCTGTACCTTGTGAAACATCCATTAAAAGAGCAACCTAACCCCAATACCCAAGCCCCCTCTTCATTAAAAAGAAAGCCCAACTGCTACTTTGGAATTTCAGAATGCCTTCTCTCAACCTCTGGCACACATTTTCATTTTGCAGTGAGATTATAGAAACTCTTACCTACCCCAGGAGAAAAGAACAAGCAGTCTCAGTCCTTCACTACTGGCCACCTCTCCTAGCTGAATTGTTCAGCAAATGGCTGGGCTTGGCCCCACCCTGCCCTTGAGCTTTCCCCCACCTCCTAGGACAGGTAAAGCAAAACTGGTCATTTACATAAGGGAAGGAAGGGTGTGAGGCCTCCATGGTTTTAACCCTCTCACTGCCTCAATTTCCCCATCTTCCTCTGCAATTGAATCCTATCTGTCAACTCACAGCTGACATTAAGCACAATCGCCAGAAAGGACACGGTTTCTCAACAGACAGGTTTTGCCAGGTCAAAGCCAAGGATATTGTTTTTAATATAACATTGGATTTAGGCTTTCAATATGTACAGCCCTAAGAGCAGCACTGAGCACGTACCTTGTTCCTCCCTTCAACTAATGTGCAAGCTAAATAGCCCTGGAGACTTTTGAAAGTTTGGGACTATAACTACAGTTTGACAAAATCTATTACAGCCATCAGCCAAAACTTAACCTATTTTCATTTTAGATATGTTATCACATTAGTAAACTTTTGCTCATTTTAATTAATGGCTAATATGTGTGTGTTATATGGTATTAATTTTCTATTCTAATTGCAATACTGACCTATGTACAATTTCAAAGTTTTAATTGTGTCATACTTGATTGTTCCCTTCTGCTGAAATCTTCAGGGAAATGCAATATAGGCTATTGACTGATAATTGGCAATCACTGCATAAACAACCATATGAAAATATTGGGAAAAGAGAGCTTGGTAAAGTTATTTTTTTGGATGACTAATCCCAGAATATGACACCTAGCATAACCACTAGACGTTGTTGTTGCAGAGTTTTGACGAAAAGAGAGCTTGGTAAAGTTATTTTTTTTGGATGACTAATCCCAGAAGATGACACCTAGCATAACCACTAGACATTGTTGTTGCAGAGTTTGGAATTGCTGATTAAATTCCTCGAGCTGTGCAGCAGAAGTACAGGGATTCATAAAGCAGAATAGCTTCATGTTCCCCAGAGTAGTCCACCTTTTTTTCTTATTAACTGGCACTTACAGTCTCAATAATTCACTCCGAGACATTAGAAAAAGATAGAACAAAAGGTTTCATTACTTATAATTGAACAGAACAAACTGCAAACTGACAAGCATGACCGCTTTCAGAAACAAACTTCAACAGACTCTAGAGAGAGAGAAAAAGCTCTCCGTAGAAAGACAGGGCTTTCTTTGAATTCAGAGGCAGGGAAGGAATTATTGGTTAGTGCTGGATTCATTCACAGTCATCTCAGTCCAGAAAGGTCCCTCCCAGACAAACCTACTAAAGGTAGCATGCAAAGTTGCAAAATTCCAGCAGTTTTTGTCCAAAATATTAACTTTCTCTTTCTCTGAGGAAACAGGATTCCAGATCCAAGATATCTTGCAGCTAGTTTGATTCTCTGAAGTATTTAATTAAAACAAAACTAAACAAAAACACAGATTAGAAAGTGACTAAAAATGTCAAGAGAAAAAGCTGAAACATGTTTTCAAGAAGATTTGTTTCCTAACAGTTGTCCGGATTTTTTCTCCCTCTAAGAACATACAGTTTAGATCTTTATCATGTCCACCCCTACAATGTATTTTTAGCTCAGAAAACCCAACCATTTAAAGTTATTTTAAAAGGCAGGCATGGCATCATTTTATGACTTGCTGATCATATTTTAGGGCACGATTACTACTACTTTTTCCTAAAATACTTGCCTTCTTGTAGGAAAATATGATGGCCCAGTTTTAATGGAAGGATGAATATGATTAACTTCAGGCACAACCTGATTCCTATACACAATTGCCACTTTTTGATTTCAGACCTCTGATACCTGAATAGAGGCTGAAACGGATCAATGGAATTAACCAAATTTTGTTAATGGCTCTAACTGATCTACTGTTAACAGCAGTTTGTTCTGCAGACATTAGAAGGTAATGTTTGTCTTCACACAGTGAAAAAAATCACATTCTGATTCTTGTAGGTCAAGATGCTATTAAAGGAAATCTGGAGAAATTTAGTTTTTGGCTGGCAGAGAACCTGGTTAATTTTAGCATTAGGTTAATTTTGGCACTAGGAGAACATATAGCAAACATTTCTTTATTGCTGAGACTCTGGAAGGTATGGTGTACACATACTGGTGTTTAATGCAAGAAACAGCTACAAGGAAGTGGGTATTAAAACAATTCTTGCCACTGCCAGATTGCCACACCGTTCAGTCACCACCCATGTTCAACAGAAACTGCTGGAGGAAACACAAACATGTATCCTGTAATCACACACGTAACGCTGAAGATGTGTGCTGGAACAGCCCTCAAGAACATTGATTTTTAGTGTACATGTGTGGAAGACAGTCTATGCATGCATTTTATATAAGCAATATTACTGTTTTCTTGACTCAGGGTACAGCTTTATGTATATTAAAAAGCCTCCAATTCTGGCTTTTTAATGGAAACACAAACATGTATCCTGTAATCACACACGTAACGCTGAAGATGTGTGCTGGAACAGCCCTCAAGAACATTGATTTTTAGTGTACATGTGTGGAAGACAGTCTATGCATGCATTTTATATAAGCAATATTACTGTTTTCTTGACTCAGGGTACAGCTTTATGTATATTAAAAAGCCTCCAATTCTGGCATTTAAAATATACATATATACAGTGGTGCCTTGCATAGCGATCGCTCCGTTTAGCGAAATCGCTTTGTGACGCATTTTTTGCGATCGCAAAAGCGATCGCTTTGCGATGTTCCCTATGGGGGAATTTCCCTTTGCGATGCTCGGTTCCCTGCTTCGGGAACCGAGCATCGCAAAGCGATGATTTTAAAACAGCTGATCGGCGGTTTCAAAATGGCCGCTGGGTAAACAAAATGGCTGCCCACTGTGTTTAGGGATGGATTCCTTGCTTAAGAGGCAGCGAAAATGGCCGTGCTATGGAGGATCTTCACTGAACAGTGAGTTTTAAGCCCATAGGAACGCATTGAAGGGGTTTCAATGCGTTTCTATGGGCTTTTTAATATCGCATAGCGACGTTTTTGTTCTGCAGCGATTTTTGCAGAACAAATTAACGTCGCAATGCGAGGCACCACTTACTTGCTGGTTCTAACACCCTCTGGATGTGTTGAGCTACAGCTTCTTCAATTCTCTTGCTGGACAGATTATGGATTGTGGGAGTTGTATTTCAAAACATCTGAAATGTGCCAGTATGGGAAAAATCACACAGACATACAAACAGAGGCAAGCTGATGTTCCCTTACCTCTCTTCCAGTTTGTTTAGGAACCTTACTACAAAACCACCAGTTTGGCTGGAAGCTCTGCAGGCATCAATAAACTCCTATCGTGCATTCTCAGTTTTTTTATCATCTTGGTGATGGGACAAACTAACATGCTAGAGTTAGGCAGATTTTTTGACAACTTCCAGAATTTCCAGGCAGCAACTTGTACAAAAATACAAATCAGTACATCTCTGAAACAAACAAACAGAATGTTCATCCATTTACCAGTCAGCATGACAGAGCTGAAGCGAAAACCCTCCCCAACTGAAACTGCTAAAGGGACTCAGAAGTGTTAGATGCCCTCTGTGATTGGGTTCATTAAAAGTCAGGAGCAGTTCCTCTTTTTTGGCGGGAAACGGCGACTGAGTCTCTTTTTGAACATTAAAATTTATTCAGTTGGACATTCTGTGAATCTAGTATAACTTCTAATGGTTCAAAACAACTGACATCAGGCAACTGTTCAATTTGGGAAGACGATAACTCGGTCTGTAAATTAACAAGATTAATTGCGGGGTTGGTCCAAAACATTCCCAATCTGTGGGCTTCCTCAATGGAGCACTCCGGACTGCACATACTGTCCGACAGCACGGGTGACTGGCCCAATCTACCTCCTGAGGTGGATGGTTGAAGGACGGGTCTGGTCAAATCACCTTCCTCGCGTGACCCTGTCCTTGAGGGAAAACCACAACTGTCCATTTTAGGGCTTCGACCGAGGACTTCTT